CCTTCTCAAAGACAAAGGAGTCGCAGAACCTCTTCACGTCCACCAAGGCGCACGCTGAATGGGCTCCGAGCTCTTGCGTGGTCTCGTCTCCCAGCGCTCGCGCCATCGCCTCTCGCAGGCAGGAGTTCCCTGCCACTGCCGCGTCGAAGTCCTCCTCAACTCCCTTGGCCCATCTCCTGATCTGGTTCCTGTTGAGCAGCCCCCACGTTCTTGCAAACCACGTGAGCAACGCAAGAGCTCGATCTCCTCCTCCTGTCAGCGCCGTCTCGTCTATATTTTCCGCGTCCTTCGGCTGCAGCATGACCATCGCCTGTAGTGTCTGCCATGGCCACGCCACCTCCTCTTCGCAGCTGTTGCACATGTCGATGAAGGCTAGCCTGCCGTTCTCAGGTAGCCTCCTCGCGTCATCCATGTTCATCATGTCCGTGCCCTTGCCCTTGTTGGGGATGCCCCTCATGGCCTCGTCGAACTCCTCCAATGTCCATCACGGTGTAGGTTATTCCTTCGCCCTGGCTCTAAGCGTGTTGATCACCTCCACCGCCTCCTCATGAGAGCTCGTGTGTTTCCACATCTCCTCGATGTCCTCTGCCTTCAGGTCGACGCTCTCCTTTGGGTTAGTTGCCTTTCTTCCTGACTTGATGTACTCGTCCTCGTGTCTCCTCTTGGGCTTCGTGATCTTGTGCAGGGCTCCTGGTGCACTGGCTCCCATGTTGACCAGCCACCTCGCGTAGTCCTTGGCCCCTCTCCTCAGGTCCTCCTTCAGCGCACTCTTCGCCTCCAATTTGGCTTGCTTGACCATCCCTTCCAGCGCGCTCTCCTCGACCATGCTAATCTGCTTGATTCGCTGGCTCCATATATTCCTGTGTAGCTTTGCCGTCTTAGTGGCTGTTCGCCCCGCCGATGGCACGCCTTCCATCGCCAGCCTCCTGCAGCACTCCTCGAGATGCTTGAGCTGGCTATCTTTCCTCCTCCTGGTCTTCAGCTTCGCGTAGGTGTCGAGCGCAGTCGCCATCCTGCTCCACCAGTTGGTGCGCTTGTTGGTGTATGTGACCCTTCGCGCTCCTGACTCTCTCACCTCCTTCTCCTGGAAGGTGCAAGCTTCTCCTCTGCCTTTGAACCTGGGCTGGTCCTCCTCGTTGATGTTGTAGACCTCGCAGTAGAAGCACTCCATGGTGGCGACCAGGTGGTGGTACTGGATGCCCAGCTTCGTGGCCTCGGCGTGGGTCGCCTTGAATGCCGCCGAGCTGGCGATGTACACCGGTGTAGTCACCTTCTTCCTGTCGTGCTGCTTGGTGTAGTACTTGTCCCAGACGGCGTGCATCGTCGCTGCGTTCACATTTTGTTCGGGCTGTATGTTGGCAACCTGCACCTCCTCCAGCTCGCTGTCGCCTGCCACGATGCCGTCCAAGGGGTCGGTACCTTGCACCTGGGCCGTCTCTCTTGGTTGTTCCCCCTGTGCCTTCTCGGCGGCGGTCGGGCGAACCTCCTCCTCGTTCCCGTAGTCCCACTCCTGGAAGTCCTCCTCGATAATGTCGGCTTCTGATCTGTCCATGTCATTGGGTGCTGTTCTCGACGGCTGAGCTATGGCCCCTGTTACAAGCCTTTTCCCTCCGATCTGGCCTCTGTCACAGGCCTCGCTCTTTGTCTGGCCTGTGTCGCAGGCCGTCATGGCCCCTGTCACGGGTCCGCTCTCTGCAGTCGATGGTGCGGGTGTCGGCGCTTCCGAACCTCGGCCTCCATCTTCGCGCTCTTGTCGCCGTCGATGAGCTCCCCATTCCTGAAGTAGATCATCTGGTAGGTCTCCATCTGGTAGAAGTGGGTATGATGTCCAGCCGATGGGTGGTAGTGCTTCCCATCGAGTACATGACAGTTCTTCTTCACGATGTTGACGCTCTGGTTGTTCATGGTCTCGCCGTTGCGGTTCCTGTGCAAGACGTTCAGCTTGTTCCTGTTGCCGCTTTCGCTTCTTCCTCTGCGCCTTGCTGTCAGGGTTCGCCGCATTCCTCGTGTCACGCTTCGGGTGGCAGAACGCACTGGGCATCCTCAGCACCCTCGTGATGTTGTGCTCGAGATGGGCCTTGATGGTGAGCTGCTGGCCGATGAGGGGCCCCCAGCTGACCTCCGAAACCGCCTCGAGCGCGATGATGTGCTGGCAGGCTGCAGGGCTCGCCAGCACGAAGTCGATGAGTGAGGGCTCCGCGTCGGCCTTGTAGCAGGTCGGCGCGTCGCCTGGCATGGTGTAAATGCGCGCGTCGCTCAGGTAGTCGCTCAGGTAGTCGCGAGTTTGGTCGGGCTAACATTGAAGTCTCCTGCGATGATCCAAGGCGTACGTAATGAACGTGTAAACCTCGCCACTTCTGCCAATCGCCTTGCATTGGCCCCCTCCTTCAGCGGGTGGTCGCACCTCAGGTAGAGCGAGATGACCACGAGGCTGTAGCCCTTCAAGTGCCACGTCATCGCAGTCCAGTCCTCCATCTGAAGTAGTCCCATATCTTCGGCCCCCTCAACTTGTTCTTGTTCTCCGCGGCTGCCAGCAGTAGCCCCTGAAACACTGCCATGCGCCGCGAACCCCCGAAAGAACGAGCTCTTGAAGTGCGACCTCGCGGCTTTCATCGCGCCTCCTTTCGAGGCCCCCCCCCCCCCCCCCCGGACTTGACGGAGGGTTGAGATGCCGCGAAGCACGCCTTCAAACCCCACTTATTCAGAAGTGCCTCCTTCTCCCCCAGCAGGTGGTGGCGAAGGTGGGTCTCCTGGATCAGGCACGCGTCGAACCCCTGCCCACTGTGCTTGCTGCCATTGATCCTCAGGCGTTTGCCCCGAAGCCACGACTCCACAGTAGGGCCCCACTTCGTGATGTTGCCGGCGAAGATATTCCTGACGCCCTTGTCGGTCTTGCTATTGTGGGCGCCAGGAAGCACTAGTCACTCCTGCTTGCCCTGGGCTGGCCCGCCTGTGCTGGCAAGCTTAGCCCTGGCCCGCGTGAGTGCCTCCTCCTCCAGGTCTGCGTCATCCTTGTTCCCGACTGGTTGGTCGACTGCATCACTGGTAGCCGTTGGAGGCGGTGTGCTCGTCGGTGGTGGATGCCCTGCAGATGCCGCTGCCTCCGCCGTTCCCTCCATGGCTGTGTCCTGCTGGGCTTCGCCCTTCCGCTTCTTCGCCTCCTGACGTATCGTCTCCTTGTTCGACGCTGCCATCTCCTTCGCACGCCTGATGTGCTCCTGCAGCTGGTTTGCGTACTCCTTGGCCCCCTGCTGGAGGTCGGCCAAGACCTTCCGCTTGGCCTCGGCTACCTCCTGGCGGGCGGCCTCGTCGACCTCGCTGTCCTCCAGCTCCAGCTCTTTCTCGAGGTCGACGACCCTTCGAGCGCCATCTCCTCGGGGGTCTGGCTGATCAGCTGCTGCATGAAGCTTTGGTGCTTCACCTCCTTGCCCTCCGCGTGGATCTCCTCCAAGATGCTCTCCTTCTCGACTACGATGGCAGCCTTCCCCCTCAACTTGTCCTCTAACTCTCGAAGCCAGGCCCTCTGCTTCTTGACGTCGGCCGCAATCGCCGTGAAGTGCTTGTTCGCAATCCTCAGGGCCTCAGCCGCTTCCGCCATGCGCTCTGGCCTTGACTTCACCGTGATCGGAGCCGCCTCGGACGCGATCTTCTACGCTAGGCCCTTCATCTGCGTCCCGGGCTGCTCGCTGTTCTCCAGCTTCATCGTGCCCAGCTTCTCGGCGATGAGGACCAGCGCCTGCGAGAGCTCTTGCTTATCCGCCTTCTGGCCTCCCCCCTGACGTCCACCGCTGGCTTGGCTCCATTGGCCACTCGCTGATGAACTGGAGGCTGACTCGGTCTCTATCTTCCTGATGCTCTGCGGCTTCTTGAAGATGGCCTTGCAGTGGTGGCACTGCAGCCCAGGCTTCCACTTGGAGTCCGTGATCCAGCCCTTGCATCCCCACGTAGCACAGCTAGTGTAGTCCTGGTGTTGGTTCCAGTCCTTGTGCTTGTCCCAGTTCCAGGACTTCTTCGCCATGCTCCCGTGGTGGGACTCCAGCAGCTCGCGCGCCTGCGCCAGCGAGAGGAGCCTGCGAGCTGAGGATCGCCTCCGCCGCAGCCGTCTGTGCCACGCGGGCGAGGGGGATCGCTCCCGCTCGGGCGTGGCTGCGTCGCGCGCGCCCGCCGCCGCTGGGCCGCGGGCCGCGCGCTGGGCGCTTGGCTTGAGCCCGCGCCTGCGCAGGGTATGGCGAACAATGAGGAAACAAAAGCATGGAGGAAGGTCAACGAACGAAAAACATTACGATAGCGACGATGCCGGAAAAGGCAGCAAGGAGTGCTCGCTAAATTGTCTGCTTGACCTTCCTGCTATTCCGCCTGCGTGCCACACTTCCAGGACCAAGGTGCATGGCGAGAAGCGCCACTGAAGTCTTGTCTGTATACATATATATATATATATATGTATGCAAATAAACAGAGAGATAGAGAGAAAACACAACAAGCAAGCAAGGAATGTAAAAAATAGAGAGAGATAATCAAAAGAGAGAGATATATATAGACATACATGTATATATGTATGTATATAAGTATAACACAAAGGGGAAGGGAAGAGAGAGCGAGAGAGAGAGGCCCTGAGAGGCACCTGAGGGGCACTGAGAGGCCCCTCCAAAAAGCCCCAGAGAGGCACTCCACAGGACCGTCAATGCATCTCTGAGGCTCCTGACCCACAGGTTTGGCACGGTGGAGCGACTCTTGACACATTCAGTGTCACATGGGGGTCGACGGAATGGCGTAAGCCTCTTGAGCACATAAGAGTGAAGTGAGAGAGAAGTAATCAAAAAAAGGAGACCGAGACAGAGAGAGAGAGGGATACTGTCTAGAGTACATAAGAGTGCAGAGAGAGGAGGTGATCTAGAAAGAGAGAGAGAGAGAGAGAAGTAGAAAAAGAGAGAGAGAGAGAGAGAAAGAGAGAGAGAGAGCGAGAGCGAGAGAGCGCACAATCAAACATGGCACAGGCAAGCCTCTGGGCGGCGTAGTTGCCCGGGACACCTGGGGCAGAAGGGACGACCACAGAGACGCGGGTATTCTGGCGCGCGGTCAGGGCCTACATCTGCGACGCACACACACGCACACCCACACACACACACACACAAAGATCGAGGGTCGAAGATGGATCCCGGGTCCTTCAGGGGGGCCCCTTGAGCCCATCCCCGAGGGTGGGCGCGGGAAGGCGCACCCTTCCTCGGGCACGCACCGACCCGGGTCAACACACCACACACACACACACACACACCCGCCCGCCCGAACACACACACACACACACCCGCGCGCGCACACACACACACACCTAGAAGGGGCCGTCTTGAAGAATGGTCTGAATCATGACGGGCGACATTGTCCAGAACAGGCGCCAACCGAGAAATAGACAGACGCTTCGACTCACACGGCGCACGCAAACGATCTGCAGTCCTCCTTTCCTTCGGGTCCGCTAGCCACCATCGGAGCTCCGAGACTAATGTGTCCACTTTCTGTCTGCATAGGAACCAGTCGTAGAGATGCCGCGAAGGGCACCAGTCGTAGAGAAACAATGATCGGCCTGTGGAAGCAATTGTAGATCCTTCCCTCCTAGTGCATCTGAGAAAAGCTCCTGCGGCAAACATGCGATCCGACTGTCGTTCAAGAAGCACACCGGACCGTTGAAGAGCCTTGGCCCGCATCCCGCGTGGGCGTTTCGGGATCGAGCTGCAACAATGTCCCTAGGCTTGGCGCTCTTATCTTTTGCCTACGACGTTATGGGACCGGGAAACTACAGGATAAGAAGTGAGAGAGAGAGAGAGATTGCGCCCGAAAGGGCTGGGTTCCAGGATTCATCCGTCTCTGGAGGAAGGTGCGGCACTAAATTAAAGGGAAATTAGGACACACAAATAAATACACACAAATAAAAATATCCCCCATATTTTCCCATATTTTCTGGGTTTTTGTCTTCCCCCCCACTTCCCATATTTTCGCATATTTTCCTGGGGATCGCCGATTAATTGTGTCTGTGTGTTTTTTCCCCTCCTGATAAATTCGCGACCCCGAGGGCGATTTGAGCTCTCCACGTCCTCCCTGCCTCCTGCTCATCCTTCTGGTTGCCCTCCTCCGCAAACGGCCCCTTCTTCTGGTCCTCCCTGTCCCCTGTACGATTGACTTTGCTGCGGCCGGCAACTTCTCAACGCAGCTCACGTAATTAGCTGATTCTCCCGGCGCCTCCCCCGGCGCCGGAGGCCGCCGGTTGTATCGAGGCATGGGCCCGGCGGCGGGGCCGAAGCCAGCTGCATGCAGCAGATTTCGTGTTCCCCCCTTTCCCTATCCCCCCGTTTCGTTCGGCCCGAGTCTTGTGCCCCGCTCACGCCGCCGCGACTAAAAAAAAATTATGTTCGAGTTCCGAAACGGTGCGTTGACAGACCGTGCGGTGACCTCGAACTCCCTCAAGACCTCACCGCACGGTCCGTCACAACACGGTCTTGGGACCCTGGAGGCCCCTGTCGCACGAGACGTCATCGGAGAACGACCCGAGTCTCAAAACCGTGCGGTGACCCCGAATCCCCACCGACTCACCGCACGGTGTGGTCACCACCCCGTTTGGGGCCCCCCCCGATCTTCGTGCCGCCGAACGGGCCGTCTGGCGAAGGCCCGGGACGTCTGCCGCCCGCGCGCAGCCCACACGTCGGTCGCCCGAGCGCCGCTCTGCGCGCCGTCGTGTGCTCGCCTGCTGCGCCAGCAGAAGCCTCCTCCTGAACCTCCTTCTCCCTCCTTCTCCTCCTCCTCCTCCTCCTCTTCCTCCTCCTTCTCGTCCTCCTCCTCCTCCTCCTCCTCCTCTTCCTCCTCGGCCTGTGGTTCGCGGCCTGACGGGGGCCGCGGGCAGGAACAAGGCAAGGCGAGGCCGACACCACAAGGGCGAGATGCGAGGAGGCCAAGGGGGCGCCCCCCTGGTGGCGTGGCCCCCCCCTCCCGCTCGAGACGCCCCCGCCTCTCCAGCCAAGGGGCGGCACCGTTATTCCCAACCATCCTGTGGTGTTGGGTCCTCGTTTTGAAGAGACAGCGCCCCGCGTCTCCTCTCCTCTCCTCTCCTCTCCTCTCCTCTCCTCTCCTCTCCTCCTCCTCCACCTCTCCCCCCTCCTCCATCCTCCCATCGCCGTCATCATACTCATCGTCATCGTCATCATCATCATCATCATCATCATCATCATCATCATCATCATCATCATCATCATCATCATCATCATCATCATCCTCATCTTCATCATCATCATCATCATCCTCGTCATCATCACCACCAGCATCATCATCGTCATCATCATCGCCATCGCCATTAGTTCCCAACCATCCTGTCATCATCACCACCAGCATCATCATCGTCATCACCACCAGCATCATCATCGTCATCATCATCATCATCATCATCATCATCATCATCATCATCATCATCGTCATCATCATCATCATCATCATCATCATCATCATCATCATCATCATCATCATCATCATCATCATCATCATCATCATCATCATCATCATCATCGCCATAGTTCCCATCTCCCGCACACCCCTCACACGTTTCGTGGCCCCATAGGGAGCTCCACCGAAGGCCCCAGTGGCAGGGTTCGCATGCCGCCCCCACCCCACTTTGGCACACCCCTCACACGTTTCGTGGCCCCATAGGTAGCTCACCGAAGGCCCCAGTGGCAGGGTTCGCATGCCGCCCCCACCCCACTTTGGCACACCCCTCACACGTTTCGTGGCCCCGCAGGTAGCTCCACCGAAGGCCCCAGTGGCAGGGTTCGCATGCCGCCCCCACCTCACTTTGGCACACCCCTCACACGTTCGTGGCCCCACAGGGAGCTCCACCGACGGCCCCAGTGGCAGGGTTCGCATGCCGCCCCCACCCCACTTTGGCACACCCCTCACGCATTTCGTGGCCCCATAGGTAGCTCCACCGAAGGCCCCAGTGGCAGGGTTCGCATGCCGCCCCCACCTCACTTTGGCACACCCCTCACGCGTTTCGTGGCCCCATAGGTAGCTCCACCGAAGGCCCCAGTGGCAGGGTTCGCATGCCGCCCCCGCCCCACTTTGGCACACCCCTCACACGTTTCGTGGCCTCATAGGGAGCTCCACCGAAGGCCCCAGTGGCAGGGTTCGCATGCCGCCCCCATCTCACTTTGGCACACCCCTCACACGTTTCGTGGCCCCATAGGGAGCTCCACCGACGGCCCCAGTGGCAGGGTTCGCATGCCGCCCCCACCCCACTTTGGCACACCCCTCACGCATTTCGTGGCCCCATAGGGTGCTCTACCGAAGGCCCCCGTGGCAGGGTTCGCATGCCGCCCCCACCCACTTTTGCACACCCCTCACACGTTTCGTGGCCCCATTGGGAGTTCCACCGACGGCCCCAGTGGCAGGGTTCGCATGCGTCCGCGCCACCCATGTCGACACACCCTTGACACGTTTCGTGGCCCCATAATGAGCTCCACCGAAGGCCCCAGTGGCAGAGTTGGCATGCCGCCCTCGCCCATTTCGGCCCACCCCTCACACGTTTCGTGGCCCCATAGGGAGCTCCACCGAAGGGGCCCCAGTGGTTGCGTTCGCATGCGTCCCCACCACCCATTTCGGCACACCCCTCATACGTTCGTGGCCCCATAGGGAGCTCCACCGAAGGCCCCAGTGGCTCCCCACCACCCATTTCGGCACACCCCTCACACGTTTCGTGGCCCCATAGGGAGCTCCACCGAAGGCCCCAGTGGCTGCGTTCGCATGCATCCCCACCACCCATTTCGGCACACCCCTCACACGTTTCGTGGCCCCATAGGGAGCTCCACCGAAGGCCCCAGTGGCAGGGTCCGCATGCCTCCCCACCACCCATTTCGGCACACCCTTCACACGTTTCGTGGCCCCATAGGGAGCTCCACCGAAGGCCCCAGTGGCGCGGTGCCTATGAGAAGAGGGGCCTAGTTTGCGTGCCCCCTCCCTCGTCTCATATCCGTGCGGTACTCGCAGCTGCATATGGTTGGGTCCTTCGCCAGGCTAATTTTTGTTTGTTTGTTTCCTTCTCCTCCTCCTCCTCCTCTTCCTCCTCCTTCTCCCTCCTTCTCCTCCTCCTCCTCCTCCTCCTCCTCCTCCTCCTCTTCCTCCTCCTTCTCGTTCGCTGGAGGTGGGGCCCCTGGTGGTGTTGGCATCGCTCCTCCTCCCCCCGAGTGGGGGGCAGGCCAGCTCCCGAGCGCGCAGGCCGGCGCTTTGGGGGGGGGGGACACAAACCCACCCTTGATGGGCCTGTTTTCCACCACCACCACCACAAGTTGGAGGGGGAGGGGGTCCTCCTCCTCCTCCTCCTCCCCTCCTCCTCCTCCTCCCCCTCCTCCTCCACCTCCTCCTCCTCCTCCTCCTCCTCCTCCTCCTCCTCCTCCTCCTCCTCGTCCTCCTCCTCCTCCTCGTCCTCCTCCTCCTCCTCGTCCTTCTCCCCTCCGACTTATGGTTGTGGTGGTGGAAAAAAGGCCCATCAACCCTGGCAAAGGGTCAGTCTTACGTGCAGTCGAGCATGGTGCGCCTGTGTGCCCACACGTGTGGCCTCGTGGCGCCAAGATGGCGAGGCAACTCCTGGTATGCCTCCGCGGGACCGATGGAGGCTACGAGGCCCAACAATGCTGTACCATCTGCGCCACCGATCACACTGCGAAGATCGAATGCAAACTTACCGCTGACTTAAACATGCCTTTCTCTCGGCCCCCTGTTTGGACGCCCGAAATGGGTACGGAAAAATGTGGCACAATGCCCAACGACAAGTTTTGCCCAAAACCACCAGCGGCTACTTTTGGGCAGGCGGCCTTGTGCCCCGAATGGACAACATGCGCGGTGACGCGGACAGCGAATCCTGTGCAAAGTGGGCAGGGATTGCTGCTGGTCTTTGTGTACCCGTATTTTCCGTACCCGCTTCGATCGTGCCGACCCTGCGCTCTGGATATCCGCGAGGTGCCCGGCTCCGTGCGGCCGTCTCAGACTCTGTGCGACAGATGCGCGCTCGTGGGCGGGGTGCCCGCGCCTGCTCTCACGTCCGCGGGGACGCACGGACCCGAACCCGTGCCGACCCGGGTCCGCCAGGCCCCGCAGGATCCTGCAGAGGCCTGCGGGATCCTGCGCGCAGGCCCAGGCCAACGGGCCCCCGAGAGACTTCCGAGGAGACCCCAAGGAAGCATCCCTGAGGACTCTGGCCCACGTCAGCGTCGTCGTCGTCGTCGTCGGCGCCGCCGTTGTCGTCGTCGTCGTCGTCGTCGTCGTCGTCGTCGTCGTCGTCGCCGTCGTCTCCCTTGAGAATCGGCAACACCAACCAAAAAAAACCTTCACACTCCTATCAAATCCTGCGCGCATGCCCGGGTCACTGCACCCCTGGCTCTGCAGGATCCTGCAGGATCTGGCGCTGTGATGAACCCCTCTCCGCATGGACCCCCGTCTCGGGGCTCCTCGCGGCAAAGCGTTGAGGGTTCCCCGCAGCATGCGACACGGACATGCGCCCTCTCCTCTGCAGACGCGCGCGTGCGCTCTCGGGCGTGCACGCGCACGTGTGCGTGCGCGCGCGGCACGCGGGCGGCCTCAGACGGCCTCGAGAGAAGGGGCGCCTCAGAGTGCCTGGCTGCTAGCTGCCGGGTAGGGCGTCTGCAGGCTTCGAAGGGCGACCCCTGCGCTTGTCGAAAAATCGTCCCCAGGATCGCGGCCCTGAGTACCACGCGCTCTTCAGACGGCCCCAACATTGCCCACGATCGCCCCTGGACGGCTGCAAAATGCCCCGAGACCAGCCCACGGTAGCCCTGAAGACCTTGCTACATCCAAATGTGTAACGACGACGCCCGAGCGAACCCCAAGCACCGCCCCGAGGAACGCTTAAGGAAACCTTCAGCGATGCCCTTGAAGGCCAACGTCACGAAGTACAGTGGTGCCTAGAGTTCCCAGAGGCTCCCCAAACGGCTCAAACAGGGTGCCCAGACGGGGGGCCCGACGACCCCTCGGCGACAGAGGCTCCCAGGAAGCCCCAAGATGCCCCGAAGAGGCCATCACGAGACCCCCAAGAGGCCCCCAGGAAGCCCCAAGAGGCCCCCCCCGCCACACTAGAGAACGCATGGGTCGCCCTGCAGGGTCGGCGGCACCGGCCGTAAGGCCTTCGCAATACAGTGATACCTAGTGTTCGAGAAGATCCCCTGGGTGCCCGGCCTGAGGTGACCTCAGCAGATCAACCGAGGGCCGCGACCAGCCCGCCCCCCAAGGCAGCCACGAGAGAGAGCCCGGCAGAGGCCCCACACAACCCTCAAGATGGCCCCAGGGCCCCCCGACGGGCCAGAAGAAGGCGAAGAGCAACCAACTGCACACGCACACACTTGCGCAGCTCCACGGATATTTAGCTCGGGCATGTCCCCTGATAGGGGGACGTTGGGCGAAAATTTAAACATGTCCCAGAAATACCCCCAACATAGTCAACAAATGCTCAATCACTCGTTCCCATACTATGTGCAACGTGCTCAACATGCCTCAGCAATGCCCCCAACATGTTTTCAAGTGTGTGTTGAGCATTCCTCCTGTAGAGGGACATGCCCGACTCAGACGTAGATTCCTGGCACCTGCGCTGGACCCCCTCTGACGCGCGCAGCGCGTCCAGGCAGGCCTTGTGGACCCTTGCCTGGGGGGCCAGGCGCCAGTCCAAGAACTCGGCGCCGACCTTCGAGAGCTCACGTGTTCGTGCAGCGGCTCCTCTTCGACAGCACAGTCAACCCGTAGAGTAAGGAGCCGCGACAAGGATGAAAGACCCTTGGAAGCCCATTTCGAAGCTGTCGAGCGGGGCGCGACCAACGAAGGTGGCCAAGGATGCACCGAGGAGGCAAGGATGCAACGGTACCCTTGGGAAGGTTGCCCGTCCTCACTGTGCGGGTTGACTGCCGGCCCATTCAGGCTCTTCGATACCTCTTCAAATGCCCATCTCTCGAGGAAGAGCTGCCACGCGACGCAAACTACTAAGTTCGCCCGCGCCACGCTGCAGCGTCGTGGTGCTGCGTCTCCGCCGGCCCCTGAGTGGCTTTACCCAGACCGTTCGGGAGAGCTTGGTCGCGGCGCGCTCGAAAAGGGGGATGGACATCATAGGAGCACAAACATCTGCACAAACCACAAATTTCCAAGGTCCGCGCGGATCTCTTGAAGCGGCGCTGGACCCCCTCCCTGGCGGGCGGAGCGCGACGGGGGCAGCGCTGCAGGCGCCGACAGGGGGGGTCCAGCGCAGATCCAACCAGTCGGAGCGGGGGTCTTAAGATCGATGTTGGTTCATGTAGAACTGGCGGCGGGCAGGCGACCTCTGTCTCAAATGGACAACGCCCGCGGCGACACACACCCTCAGCGCGTCCCGCTCAGAGTTGGCAGGATCGGCTGCTGGCTTTCGTCCCCGTTCCTTCCGACCCCACTTCGCCCCCGCCTCCCCCCGACGGTAGAGCTATCCTGTACCAACTTCGCTACGGCGCTGGCAGGGCGCAACGCTTTTGCCGTGGCAATCACATGTCTGTGCCATCTCGTGGATTATCCCGCTTGCCTTCGTCCACGCCGTGGTTGGACATGTTCCGGTGGTTCATCTGCGCCTGTCGGTTTCGGTCCTGGCGGGCAGACAAGGAAGACTGAGCCGACGCAAGACAGAAGAGCAACGGCTGCCGCCCGAGGATGATGATGATGATGATGCTGATGCTGATGATGATGATGATGATGATGATGATGATGATGATGATGATGATGATGATGGTGCTGATGATCATGGTGATGATGATGATGATGATGATGATGATGATCATGGTGATGATGATAATGATGATGATGATGATGATGATGATGATGATGATGGTAATAAAGATGATGGCGATGAACATGATGATGATGCTGATGATGCTGATGATGATGATGATGGTGGTGATGATGATGAGGAAGAGGAGGAGGAGGAGGAGGAGGAGGAGGGGGAGGAGGTGAAGGGCAACGGTATGGGGGGGTAGGCGAAGGGTGGACGCATCGACCTCGGATGGCCGATACATCGCCCACGTATCGTCGATACATCGTCGATACAGGCCGTCCCACGTATCTTCTCTACATCGCCGATACACCGCCCTGATATCCACGATGCGTCGTCAATGCATCGTCGATGTGTCAACCATTCACGGTCGATGTAACCCCCCTATTCGGCGGCTCGCACAAGGGGGTAGGTTGAGGGGGAAGGCTTCTTAGAAGGAGGCTGCTTCTTAGAAGGCACCGCGCCTTGCAAAAACCAGGGGTGCTTCCAAGACACCCCCCCCTCCCTCTGCCCCCTTCTGCGCGTGGCCGACCGATGCCTATCCCCCCTTATCGTTGCCCCCGAGGAGGGCGCTCAACCGCGAGGAAGCGGCGGTGGCGCACCAGTCGTCATCGTTCGGGGATCTTCTGACCCGGGTCAATCTACACCCGGGTCAATCAGGCCTTGCAAGATCCTGCAAGATCCTGCACCCAAATCCGGGTCAGCGCGACCCTGGCCCTGCAGGATCCTGCAAGATCCGGCGCTCTGCCCAGAGGCCTCCTAGATGGGGTCGGACTAGATGGGGTCGGAGGATCGCGCCGCATCGCCGATGCCGATTCATCGGCGATGCGACGGCGATGTCGACGTTGGCGACGTCGACGCGACGCAAATCGGCTCAATCCACACGCAGGAGGCGTAGGGACACACATCCTCCTCCTCCTCCGCCTCCTCCTCATCCTCCTCCTCCTCCTCCTCCTCCTCCGCCTCCTCCTCCTCCTCCTTCTTCTCGTCCTCCTATGCTCGGGGGCTGCAAGAAATGATCCTCGCCCACGGCGTCCCCACCCTTTCCCCGCCACTTTTGGGTTCCTGGGGCACTCTGGGCCTCGTGAAGAGTTCCTTCGAGGCCGTCGGGCTCTCCCTGGGAATCGTGGGGACACTATGATCATGGACACCTTTGAAGGGGCCCTGGGACACACAAATACATACACACAAAAAAAACGATTCCCCATATTTTCCTATAATCCCACCAGCCCTTTGGGCGTGAGTGGTTTAGAGAGCCCGCTCTGTCCTCAACCCCCCTTCTTCCCCTTCGGGGAGGGGTTTACCCCTCCCCCTACCCCCTCCCCCTGGGCCTGGAGAGGGAGTCCGGGGTGGTGGCAGGGGTGTCTTTTTCGACTCCTGGGAGGGCTAAAAAACGACGACCCTCACGAGGATTCTGGCCCCGACGGGGGGGCCGAGTTTGGCCCCAAATCATTGATTTTACTAGGGTTTGGGGCCCATTTTGGGCTTCTGAGGGGGCAGCGCTCATCGTCCTTCATAGCAAAATCATTGACTTTACTAAGGTTTTGGGCTCATTTTGTCCTTCTCAGGGGGCAGCGCTCATTTGCGCTTCTGAGGAGGTCGCAAGAGGCCCCAAGATGGCCCCAAGAGGCCCCCAGGAGGCTCCCAAGAGGCCTCCAAGAGGCCCCCAAAAGGCCCCCAAGAGGCCCCAAGAGGTCCCCAAGAGGCCCCCAAGGGGCCCCAAGAGGCCCCAAGAGGCCCCCAAGGCCCCCAAGAGCCCCCAAGCCCCCAAGGCCCCAAGAGGCCTCCAAGAGGCCCCCAAGAGGCCCCACGAGGAGCCCGAACGACTCACACCAGGACGAGGGGCCCGAACGACTCACACCACGAAGAGCCCGAACGACTCACACCACAAGGAGGGGCCCGAACGACTCACACCAGGACGAGGCGCCCGAACGACTCACACCACGAGGAGCCCGAACGACTCACACCACGACGCGGGCCCCGAACGACTCACACCACGAGGAGCCCGAACGAGTCACACCAGGAGGAGGGGCCCGAACGACTCACACCAGGATGAGGGGCCCGAACAACTCACACCACGAGAAGCCCGAACGACTCACACCAGGACGAAGAGCCCGAACGACTCACACCACGAAGAGCCCGAACGACTCACACCAGGAAGAAGGGCCCGAACGACTCACACCAGGACGAGAAACCCCAAACGACTCAAACCACGAGGAGAGCTTTCTCTCCCTCCTCCTCCGCCTCGTCCTTCTCCCGCTCCCCCCACAAGGAGGGTGTACAAGGAGGCGGGAGGAAGGAGGAACAGGGGAGATATGCGGGGCCAAGCGGACACACGCCTGAAAAATACGACTGTCGGCATGCTTCGCAAGAATTGCTGCTGTGAGATGGGCTGGTGGGGATACGCGAAGCGTAAAGAATTTCTGGGGTACTGTCTTCACCCCCCCACTTCCCATATGTTCCCAGATTTTCTGTGGAATCGACGATTAATTGTGTCTGTGTTTTTCCCTCCTGAACCTTTTGCAACATCTGATCATCCTTCCAAGGCATGCGACACAAAGGTCTAAGCCAGACACCCGCTCGCGGTAAGTAAAGTTTGCCTGTGCCTCCAGAGGGCGCGGCGGCAATCGCATCGGTGGCCTCTGTGCAGAATCGGTCTCCATCGAAACGGTAGATCGCATAGGATCGGAACGTGTACCGAATCGCCCCGCATCGCCCTGGGACCAGAATCCACTTGAGTGGGCTGCGCCAAGAGGCACAACAACACCACACAAACATCGGGGCACATCGCGTTGCCAGAATACCGGAATCGAATCGGACCGAGCCGGCCAGCATGGATACCGAATCGGATCGATCGGATCGCAATGGCCCCATGGCTGGGGTGTGTGCACGTTCGGGGGAAAAAGGCCGAGGAGCCCAAGAGAACCCGAACACGTGCAGAGACCCCGACCCTCCTTCCTCGATCACTCGGGCACCTTCGCGCCCCAACGGGGGCCCCCGGCGGCCCAAAACACGCGAAGAAGCGAAACCCGAGAGGCTTGGCTTCAAAAGGTCATCTGAAGCCAAAACAGGGCCAACAAAAAAACAATCGCCCGAACAGACTCGGTTCCCGAACCTCGATCCCTTACGGACCCTGCCAGCACGGCAGGTTCGCGTCAAGATGACGTCAGCAATGGTCTTTGACGCTGCGTGGTTCTCTGGCAGCACGCGGCGATACATCGCTGACGAATCGGCGACAGGCCCCCGATACCGACCTGGTTTCCTGCTCCAATTTGGAACCCCTGGGATCTTCTCAACAATTCTTGAGGGTCGAAAAGAAGCCTTGCAAATCTCACCTTGTCGAAGGCGCCAGACACGCAAGAGCAGCAGATGGCGACCATTGCCGACGGCCCACGCCCCACGAAAAACTGCGCGCGGAAAGGGCGGCAAGGCAGCCGCGGCCGCGGTGGCGCGCAAACAGGCGGCGCCCATGAACCTGTACTGATTCGGGGAAGCCGATGCCGCGGTAATTCACAGCTCTCGAACAGACCTTGCGTTTGAAAAGAAAGAATGAGCCAAGTAATCTTCCATGGGGATGGCCAAGAACCGCGACGTAAAATGACCCGGGCAGGTAGTGCACTCGGGCTGGCCACTTCCACGGCGCATCTCTTCGAATGGAGAGCTGACGCGGCATCTGGGCCAGTGACGGCCAGCATCTTCGCAAAGCCTTCGAAGTACTCGCAAAGCCCCGCGCCGCCGAACTGGAACGTTATGCGCAGCGAGTTGGCACGTGGGCGCGGATATCTGCAAGCAGTCGTTCGTCTGAGCGGCTCGGAGTCCAAACTTTTCTCTGAAGGCGGCTGCGAACAGGTCAACCTGATCCTTCGGTCCCAAAGCCCAAACCTCAGAAGCAGGTGACAACGGCTGTCGACGCGCGTGAATTTCCGGCCCGGAGCATCGGGAACCCACGCGAGGACCAAAAATTCGTGCAAGAATTCTCCAGGATGCGCTGGAGATGCGCTGTCGAGAGAGCACGGAGCGCTGTTGATACTCGCGCAATAACCCACATGAGCGAGCCCTGCGCCACTCTCCGTGCTCTGGCCCGCCGCGGCGGCGGATGTTCTCGTCGATGAGCAGGCAACTTCGCTCGTCGAGCAACGGGCGCGTGGAATGCCGCGCGCGCGTACTACTTTCGGGTTCGCGCTTCGGCCGCGCGCAAAAAAAGAAGCCGCGAACTTCTCTGCCGCAAAGAACGAGTCGCAGACCGAGAAAAAACCTCGCCAACCGACGCCTCGGAAAACCATGCGGAGACTGCGCCCATCCGCGCGTTTGGACACCAAGCGCTCCAAGAAAATAGGTGCAGCGCGTAAAACATGTATGTCGATCGTCGCGTGTGCAATGTTGTGATCGGAGATCGAAGGGATAACTTTGCGCACCACTCCCGACGCCAGGCCGGAAATAAGGTCGAGCAGGCATTTGCCCCGCGTGCGTATGCCCACTCTTTCCAGCAGGCCGCTTCCCGAGCGCACTTCACATACCTCTCGGCCTTCCCGGGGCCGCCGCCCGAAACACGAAGCCAAGGTTCATTGTGATCACTGGTGTCGCCGACAAACCAGGTTCCCACTGCACGGCCGTGGCGTTGAGGCCACTCGTGCTGGAAGAACTGCATCGGAGCGGTCTCTCCCGCGTCAAGCGGGCGATGCCAAGGAGCAAGAGGCAGAGGTCCGTGACCAGTATGAACAACGTACCAGGAGCGTCCACAATCGCAGGCCTCAGCGCTTTGAACAATGCTATCTGGAACCGCCCCATTGGCAAAATTACCAAGTACCCACCTGTCCACCGTCACGCCGGTCCAGTCTGGAGATGACAGCATAACCGGGCGAGCCAGGGCTCAGGACAATCTGACTTATCAACGTCTCGGTTATAGCGCGAGTACGTGGGGAAACCAATCGAGGAGAGGAGACGCAAGAGCACAGCGTGGTGCGTCAAGTCATCGCGCAAGTTCACGAGCACGGTGGAGAAATGCATGTCGGGGTCTGGCGACTCTTACTAGGATCGCCGCGAGCTGTCGACAGGAGGCGCCAGCGGCCAGAAAAACATAGCCATGCGTGTCGCGGAAGATGCAAACTATGAGCAGAAGTGTCCCACGGCGACGGAGACGCCAGGACGTCGACGGTTTGGGCCGCTCATCTGCCTCAGAGTAGCGGGCGAGCAGGTGAAAGCGAAACGGTCGATTATGATAATGAACGCTTTGATGAGCGGCACAGGAAATTCGTACAAGATCACGAGGTTGGCAAAGAACTGAGAAATGACTGTGGCGATGCCGTCGTCCTGCTTGAAGGCCGTTTTGCCGTTCACTGTCACGCGGCGCTCGCGCGAGTCCTGCACGTTTCATTCGATCTTGACGTTCTTGCCGTTGGCGTCGGGGGAGTCCTTGAAGAACGACTCGGCCTTGCGAGTGGCGTACTTCCGCTTGCGCTGAAACCTCGTGCGGGCCAGCTTGATCAACGGCTTCTGGTCGCCAGTGCTAAGCTGGATCTTGGAAGAAAAGAAAGCCTTTGACGAGACGAACGACTTTGCCACATCCACGCTGGAGAATTCAACCCAAGACCCCTTAGAAAGCTTCCTGTCCGAATACCGACCAGCATACTCACAACCGAAACCCACGTGTCGCAACATGTTGAAATGGTCTCTAAGAAGGGAAACCTCCATATTGGCTATGCGCGAGCCGGCGTCGGTGTCATCAGGCCATCCTTCAAAAGCAACACGACGTCGTTCTCAGCTTCGGAGACACTGGTCTTAGCACGATCCCGGTACCCCTAGAACACCATCGTCGACGACGATTCAGCTGCTGGGACGTATCCTGAGGTAAGAAAGCCTCCAAAAACCCACGAACACGGAACAACACCTACGAACAAGCCTCTACGGAAACGTGCGAAAACTTCCGACCCCGACTCCTCACTGTCTCATTAGAGGAACAAGAAACTGCGTAAGCATAAACTTCTGGAGGTCCGCGCGGATTGCTTGGATCTACGCCTGACCCCCCTCCCCGGCGCGGAGTGCGCGCGCCAGGGGCGGCGCCAGGGGTGAGCGCGCCGGGGCCCAGCGCGCTGCGAGAAATCCTCGTGGAACTCTGGCAGTTTACGTGCACGTAGTCCCACCAGCCCTCTGGGCGTAGGTGGTCTAGAGCAGATCCTCTTCCACCCCTCCCTCTTCCCCCTTGGGGAGGGGTTTACCCCTCCCCCTACCCCCTCCCCTGGACCTGGACGGGGGGGGCCGCGGGTAGTTAGAGCGTCCAAGATGGCCCAAGACGGCTCCAAGAGCGCCTCAGAGAACCCAAGATGAGCTCCAAGATGGCTCAAGATAGCGCAAGATCGCTCACGATGGCTCCTAAGATGGTTCCAAGAAGCCCAAAGACGGCCCCAAGATAACTCCAAGTGGCCAAACAGCTCCCCAAGGAGGCCCCGAAGAGGCCAAAATCGTCCCAAAACCTAAGGAAAATCAATGATTTTTGCTTTCTCGCCTTTTCGCTTCCGATGGCTATCCGAGGCCTGGAGATGGCTCCAAGATGGCCCAAGAGGGCCCCAAGAGAGCCCCAAAAGAGCCCCAAGACGGCCCCAAGAGCGCCCAAGAGCACTCCAAGAGCGTTCCAAGAGGGGTCCAAGAGGCGATTTTAGGGGCTTCCGAGGGGGGACGCTAATTAAACCCCCCCTCTTGTTTGATCGACTCCCTCCAAGATGGCCCCAAAAGCGCCCCGAAGGCTCCCCAGAGCGCCTCAAGAGGGTCCCAAGAGGCGCCCAAGATGCCCCAAGGCGCCCAAAAAGCCCTCCAAGAGGCCCTCAAAAGACCCCCAAGAAGCTCCTTCCCCTCCTCCTCCTCCTCCTCCGATTCTTCCTCCTTCTCCGTCCTCCTCCTCCTCCTCCTCCTCCTCCTCTTCCCCCTCCTCCTCCTCCTCCTCCTCCGACGACGACGACGACGACGACTCCTCTTCCATCCTCCCCCTCTCGGGGTCTGTGACAGCTTCCCCCGCCCTTTGTTATTCTGCATGCTCCCCGACTTCCCTGATCACCTCAACTCCCCTGAGCATCGTTTCTGGATGGGCTGGTGGGGATACGCGAAGCGTCAACAATTTTTTACTGGCGGCCTCCTAGATGGGGTCCGAGTCGATGGGGTCGAAGGATCGCGCGGCTTCGCCGATGCATTGGCGATTCATCGAGGATGCATCGGCGATGCATCGGCGACGTCGGGGTGGAGAAAACCGGGCTCCACATCGAGCTGCATCGCCGATGCATCGGCCGTGCGGCGCGATCCTCCGACACCATCTGGGAGGCCTTGATTTACGTCTTTCGACAAGCGCGCTCCACCACTCGCAAAGTCGCTACTCGCAAATGGGCAAAAGTCGCCGCGGGGGATTCACGCTCCATTGCATGTTGCATGTGGAAGACGCGTTTTTTGTTCGGACGTTTGCGAGTAGGCACTCTGCGAGTAGTGGAACGCGCTCGGTGAGCCTTCGAGACTCACCACGCGGGAGTCCGAGCGCCCAGGGGCAGAGCCGCGGCTGCTGCGGGGGGGTCCTGCTGCGCCGCGGGGGCCGCGGGGCCTGCGCGCGCGCGCCGCGAGCGCGCAGACCGCGCGTGCCGCCCCTCGGGGAGGCGCAGCCCTCTCGGTGGATCGGAGCGCCCCAGGATTCCTTGGAGGAGCGAGCAACGGCATGACCATACAGTGGAGGCCCGTCCACAAGACCCCTTCCACAAGAACCCCAACCCTGAGACCCCCAGGACGTCCATGTCCGTGGGTTTTTGGTGCGGGAGTGTCACGCTTTTCGTGGCAGAACCCTGGAAACCCAAGAAACCCAGGGCCCCCTGGAGGCAAGCAGGGTGCTTCTTGGCATGGGTCTCTACTGTAAGCATAATTTGTTGGAGGTCCGCGCGGATAGGTCGGGTCGGCACTGGACCTCCACCCTGGCGCGCAGGGGCGCGCCAGGGGCGGCGCCGGAGGCGCCGCCAGGGGGGCCTGGGACTCCAAAAATACATACTTCAACGACCAATGGGCATGAGTATGTTTGGGTGACCCAAAAGGGGGTCCAACTGAAAGGGGGTGGTGCAATAGATTTGGGGCAAGTGTATTGCAAAGGTATTGCGCCGGAGAATTGTATTGCATTGTCTTGCAAGTAATGTATTGCACACGGAAATCCAACAATACATTTGCGCCTCGGAATGTATTGCACGCCAAAGATGTGCTGCAACCCCGTAAATATATTGCACCAGCTCTATTGCGCCACCCCCTTGTCGCTGGACCCCCTTTTGGGTCACTCCGATTATGGTGGGCCTGTTTTCCACCACCACCACCACCACCATAAGTTGGAGGGGGGAAGGAGGAGCCGGAGAACGAAGAGGAGGAGGAGGACGAGGAGGAGGAGGACGAGGACGAAGAGGAGGAGGAGGAGGAGCAGGAGGAGGAGCAGGAGGAGGAGGAGGAGGAGGAGCAGGAGGAGGAGGAGGACGAGGAGCAGGAGGAGGAGGAGGAGGAGGAGGAGGTGGTGGTGGAAGACGGGCCCATCACGATGATGGCGTTTTTTCCTCCTCGATCTCCGGAGCTCCGCAGGGAGGCCCCCCCCCGCGGGGGGTCTTCGGGACTCCGCGAAGAGACCCCCCCGCCGGCGAGCGGCTCCCGCTGCCCCGCGCCTCGCGGACGCCGGCCGCGGGGCCCGCGCTGTCGCAGAGGCAGGGCGCGCGGAGCCCCACCGAGTACCGTTTCGCCGATCCCCATCCCCTGCATCCTCCTCCCCCTGCATCCTCCCCCTGCATCCTCCTCCTCCTCCTCCTCCTCCTCCTCCTCCTCCTCCTCCTCCTCCTCCTCCTCCCCCTGCATCCTCCTCGGTTTCCCTCCGACGTCGACAGCGGCGAGGACGACGGCGCCGGCGAGCACGAGGCGAGGGCAACGACCACGACACGACAACGACGGAGTTGAGTACCGTTTGACCGATCCCCGTCCCCAGCGACGTGGCCTGGGCCCCGCTGGCCGATCTGCCCCCCCTGGATGGGGATATGGGTCCTTCCCTGCGGGTTTCGAGGGGCGCATCCCCAACTGGGACTTCCTTTGGTGGGGGTCTCGAAGGGGCTGGGGATGGGGATGGGGATTGGTTCAAAGATGCCGACCCGCCCGGGCCGCCGCGGGCAGGAGAGCCCAGGATCGAGTCGACAAGTCGGATCGGCGATCGACGTGGCTCGGATCGGCGGAACGTCGGCTGCCGAGTCGGAAGCAGCTGAGTCGGCGGATATCCGCAGGCCAGTAGGCCTCCATTGAGAGATCGAATCGGAATCGGAAGCCATCGAAATCGAGTCGAATCGAATCGGAGGAATCGAAGTGAGCCCTGCGCGGGGGCGCCTCCCCCTCCCAAGCTTACAATGTAAGTCGGGCATGTCCTCCTACGGGCCTTCTCTGGACGAAAAAACAGACCAGCAATGCGGAACAAGATTCAGAGATAGCCGAAACATCGTGCACAAACTATGTCTCGACCGGTTTCGACTGTTCCTCCTGAAGACGGACATGCCCAATTTGAAAGTTTACATTCGGCCCAAGGATGTGCGATAAGGGTGCAATGGCCTTGGACGCCCACTTCAAAGCTTTTCGAGCGAGGCGCGGCCAACGAAAGTGGCCAAGGATGGGCCGAGGAGGCAAGGATGCAAGGGCAGCCTTGGGAAAGTTACCCATACTCACTGTGAGGGTCGACACGGCTCTTCTGTCCACTGCTGGCTCGTTTCAGGCCTGCTCCTCTCAGGTGCCAGCGGAGCGCATCGTGCTCAGGAGGCGTACTCCGAAGGAAGTGCCGAGCAGACTATCGATGGGCTGGAGGTCTCCGAGGGGTCACCAAAATTCACAAACGATGTATGTACAGTGTCGCGGCATCTGCACACATTAGGTAGGACTCTGGGCAAGATCAACAACACCAACCATCGTAAGACTGATCGCTAACATATGCCCGCGTGTCATTCAGCATGTAATCTCCCAAACCCTCGACACCCACTCTCTTTGACTTTGGTCGTACCCCCTGTCGGGGGTGCACCGTCCTTCCCTGCCATTTGTACTTGACGCAGCCCTCAACACAGGAAAAACAACAAGAATGGCCAAGAGCGCGCCAGAGAGAGAGAGAGAAAGGTAGCGACGAGGGGATGAGGAAGGGAGTGGAGGAAGGGAGGAAGGAGGGCAGGGGGCAAGAGGGAGGGAGGGAGGAGACGGAGGACAATATCAATTAGCGAGAGGGGTTCTCAAGAGGAGATGGCAAGGAAGTCTCAGGCGAGAGCGCGGCTCCTGAGTAAAGTGTGAGGATGTCCCGCGCGAGAGTGCGACATGAACGCCGAAAGCGCGGCTTGTCCATACACTGCAAGGAGGCCTCGCACGAGATCACGATCCCTGGATCGTGCGGAGAAGTCCCGCGCGAGAGCCCGATCTCTCAAGACACTGTGGGGACAGATTCGGCGGCAGCCTCTCGTGGCACACCGGGAACCAACAACATTGTCTGAGGGCCAAGGCTTTTCCATGGTAAAAAATCAGAGCCCCGAATCATCAGGGGTAACTCGGGTCAGGGATAACTCGGGTTTGTTTTTTCGGGGACCCGAACCCGAGTTACCCCGGACCCGAATTACCCCGGATAACTCGGGCGCCCAGGGCCCCGAATCATCAGGGGTAACTCGGGTCAGGGATAACTCGGGTTCGCTTTTTCGGGAACCCGAACCCGAGTTACCCCGGACCCGAGTTACCCCGGATAACTCGGGCGCCCAAAAAAAGTAAGGGGAGGACCGCTCATTGGCATGCAGTGCGACTTTCTGCAGAGTCTCGCCACGGTGAGAGCAAGGGTGCCCTGTGTCAGCGCGCCATGCGAACCCGTGCAGCTTCCAAGGGAGGATGCCCACCCAATGCAATGCTGGTCCAAAAAACAACGGCACCTGGAAGAACCCCAAAGTACACCCTGCGAAATGCTCAAGAAATCATGGGTTCAGAAATTCAGGGTCTCAGAATTTGAATAAAAACCTAATGTTTCTATCAAAATCTTAGGATCTACATTGAAACATTAAGAATGATCGAGACTCTGGCCGAAACCTTGGGTTTTCTTAAGCATCGCCTAAGGTGTAAGAGTGCCAAAGATCCGCCACATTCGTTCAGGACGGCAGACATCTCTCCCGGAAGACAGGCTCGCCACATGTCAGCACTCCTCCTGGGCATGCGGCTCCCGAGGAGGAGTGGCGACCCCCCGTCACACACTTGGGAGATATGTACGACAGCAAGCCGAACATGCTCTTTTGGATGCCCGCGCAAACTCCTTGGGTGTGGCGCGCGAAGTGCGCCAGGAGCGGCACTGGAGGCGCCGCCGAACCAACAAACAAGCGCGGAGCTCCGACGGTTGCTCCTGTGCGCTTCGGCGGGCCTCCGGGGACTGGCGCGCATGGACTGGTTGCTCCTCGAACTTGGCACGAGAGAATCGGGTCCTGGGTGAAACGTGTCCTGGATTCTGGGGCGTTTCGCCAAGACCGGCTCGTCAACCCGAGTCGTTGCTTAACATTCCTAGGGCCCGTGGGGGTCCCAGGGAGGCCAACAAGTGCACAACAAGCCGCAGGACCGCCTTCCCTCAAGAATCGTTTCCGTTCAAGGGCCGTCTGGCCTTCGGATCATAACTCACGTCTCTGGCGGCCGTTCAGGACGATTCGGGTACCCCCAGAACGCTCTCGATGAGGCGCAGCTGCTGAAACGCATCCCGAGGTTGGACAGCCGCCGAGAACCAAACACCTCAAACCTCGAGCGAAAGGGGATGGATAGCGCGATGACGACCGAGCGAACTGCGGCGAGCTCTCGAACCAAGATTGCCGTCCGCCCTGCAGGGAGTCGCACACGCCGAAGGACCACGATGTCAAACACCGGATGTCGTCCAAAAATGGCAGCGGCCCGCTGCTGTGCAAGGGACCGCTTGCACCGTACAGACAGCGCCTGCGACCGCGGCGGCACCGACAGCGCGCCCCACTCAAAATGGAAAACGGCCGCTGCCGATCGTCGTCTCCATGCTTTCTGGCGCCGCTTCGGTCCTCCAGGAGGGGGGGAGAAGTCCAGCACCCCTACTCTCAGAGCCCCGAATCATCAGGGGTAACTCAGGTCAGGGATAACTCGGGTTCGTTTTTCGGGAATCCAAGCCCGAGTTACCCCGGACCTGAGTTATCCTGGATAACTCGGGCGTCCAGAGCCCCGAACCATCAGGGGTAACTCGGGTCAGGGATAACTCGGGTTCGTTTTTCGGGAATCCAAACCCGAGTTACCCCGGACCCGAGTTACCCCGGATAACTCGGGCGTCCAATACTCGGCCTGGGAGAGGAGGAGGAGGGCGAGGGACGAGGACGAGCAGGGGGAGCGGACGCGAACTCTACCTCGCTCCTCTGCCGTCGCGGCGGCCAGGGACGCGCACGACAGAGAGGGAGTCCGCACGCGCGCCCGGCGACGCGCTTCTCTCTGTTCGGCGGTGGCGGGCGTTATTGAAGGTTGGGCGCCCGAGTTATCCGGGGTAACTCGGGTCCGGGGTAACTCGGGTTTGGATTCCCGAAAACGAACCCGAGTTATCCCTGACCCGAGTTACCCCTGATGATTCGGGGCTCTGGACGCCCGAAATATCCGGAGTAACTCGGGTCCGGGGTAACTCGGGTTTGGATTCCCGAAAAACGAACCCGAGTTATCCCTGACCCGAGTTACCCCTGATGATTCGGGGCTCTGAGAAGGGGCCCAAGGACACACAAATAAATACACGCCAATAAACATATGTCCCATAGTTCCCCAACATGCTCTGGGTTTCTGTCTTGCCCCCCCACTTCCCATCTTTTCGCATCTTTTCATCGGAATCGACGATTGATTGTGTCTGTGTGTTTCTTTCCCTCCTGAGTTATGGGGGAAGGGGGGCGGGGCGGGGGGGGGGTATCACGTAACGAGCCCCCTCCGCCATGTGGCCCCGGCAGCAGGAGCAAATTCTCCGGGATAGCGGCCGTCATCGGCTCCGCCGCCCCCCCCACCCCAGATGACCTCGCGTTCCGCGCTGGCGGCGTCCAGGAGTGCCTAGGGATGACAAGGGCCAACTAGGAGCAGCATGTAGGTGCCGATCTGCCCCACAACGCCCGTGTACACCACAATGCTCGCGTGCACCATAGCGCGCGTGCACACCACAACGCCTGCGTACACCGTAACAGCCGTGTGCAACGCAGCGCCTGTGTAAATCATAGTGCTTGCGTGCACCAAGGCGCCTGTGTACACCACAGCGAATGTGTACACCACAGCAACCATGTGCAACACAGCGCTTGTGTACACCACGGTGCTTGCGTACACCGCAGCGCCTTTGCACACCACAAGGCCTGTCTATACCACAACACTTGCGTGCAACGTAGCGCTGGTGTACATCACAGCGCCTGCACGCACAGGGCACGTAGAAGGAGCATGTCGGTGAGGATCTTCTGCGGACAGTTACACGCCACGCCAAGGGTGTGCTGATGATGAAATGCGACGTTCATCCCTCCTCCCTCCTCCTCCTCCTCTTCCTCCTCCTCATCCTCCTCCTCGTCCTCCTCCTCGTCCATCTCCTCCTTCACCCTCCCCCCCTGTCGTGCGGGTCGGCGTTGCAGCGCACGTGCGCATCTCATCGTCGTGCACTGCTGAATTGTCTATTGAATCAGTCCCCTTGCTTCTCGGACGGCCAATTCTGCAGGAACCTTCTGGGCGCTGATGGGAGGCGCTAGGATGGTGCGGGAGGACTCGGGAAGACGCGTAAATTCCAGCGGCGCCCTTTTCTCCATACGGATTCCTTTCCAATGTCTATGCAAAACAACTCTTTTCCGTGAAACCCACAGGCCCTTCATTTGTCATGACAAGTGCTTCTAAACTCCGATACGCAACAAACACAAATTGCTGTGATGCACACGGGTTGCGTGGTATACACTGGTGCTGTGTTGCACACGGCCGATGTGGTGTACGTAGGCACTGTGGTTTACGCAAGCGCTGCGGTGCCCGCAAGCACTGTGGCACACACTGGCGCTGTGTTGCGCGCGGCTGCTGTGGTGTACATGTGCGGTGTGGTGTACACAGGCGCTGTGGTGCACGCAGGCACTGTGGTGTACACAGGCGGTGTGGTGCAGATCGCCACCTACATGCTGCTTCTTCCCGTCTTCGGTCATTTCTGGGCATTCCCAGACGCCCCCGGAGCGAAACGTGACGTCATCGCCCCCCCCCGATAACGGCCGCCATCGGGCCAGAGTAAAGAACAGGTTTCAGCCGCGTCCGCGCGCACAACGACGATGAGCGACGAGCGGCGACGAGCGACGAGCGACAACGTCGACGACAACAACGATGACGACGACGACGACAATAACGACGACAATAACGACGACGGCGGACTGGACCCCTATGCGGAGTCCTATGCGGACGCCTATGCGGATCCCGATGAGCACGGCGGCAGTGCAGGGGGAGGGGGGTGCGTTATTGGGGGGGTCTGGGGGACATTACGGCATAATGCCTGTTATGCCCCAAGCAATAAAGAAACACGCTCCAGAATAGGTGGCGCCATTCGAACACTACCCCCACCAACCATCGATTATCCTAAATCGACGTGAGGCGGGGGTGGGATACGCATCTAACAGCCGACACAAGGGACCACGTGGCGAGGGGGGACGGCCTTGACGGGGCCCACCCCTCCTCCTTGTTCGTTGGTGGGACATCAAGTGCTATGCTTGCTGCGTCCTGTCAGTGCGAGAGGTCTCATGGTAGACAAAAAGGCCGACTTAGGCCCGTGAGCACAAATGAAGGCAGCTGCCAGTGGGGGTGTCCCCCTTCCCCCTCTTCCTCTTCCTCCTCCTCCGCCTCCTTCTCATCCTCCTCCTCATCCTTCTCCTCCTCCTCTCCCAGACCCTCCGTTCCAGAGCCCCTGGCGCTTGGAGGCAGGGGGTTGACCCAGCGACAGGCTTTGGGGGTTCAGCGGTAAATCCTGGGATGACTTCGAAAGAACGGTTGCAAGCTAATTCTGAAGCCAGATTTCAAAGGCATCGAGCTGGACAAACCAATAGTAAGTCCCAGACCAAACTCGATTTAGCCGAATTCGGCCGGATAGCGCGAAACTAAAATCAAGCGGGGACAGGCCAACTTTTCGACCGTGGCTAGACCACCACCGCCGATGTAGATGCCCCCGCAACTAGCCCCGGGGGCGCTCGGACGAAGGCAAAAACCCTTGAGCCCGAACGCCGGGAGCCGCTGTTGCATGGACTCCAACGAATGCATCCCGAAGTGTACGCGGCGAGCCGGGGGGAACTCTGAAGGAGCAGGCCTTCTCAGAAGGCGGCTTGGCTTCTCAAAGCCGTCGAGCCTGCTGCGAATGCGTCTGATTTTTTCGGAGGGGGCTTCTAGGAAGCTCCTCAGAAGGCGCGAGAGCCTCTGAAAAAAACCGCCACCTGGTGGGGACTGCCTTCTTACACTTCCCTCCTGGGCTCGCAGCCGACAAGCTTGCCATCGCTCGAGCGTGCACTGCCAGCGCATGTTCGGTTTGGTGCGTTTTGTCCGTTCGGTTTGGTTGGACCTGCGACAAGTACATAGGATGCTCTGTAGATCTCGGTGCAGTCTACGCACTCGACGCAGACTCGACGGGCAAATCAAGTCTGGGGCAGATCACTTCTGCAGTCGATCCCCTCCTCGAAAGATGCTCCTCGATGGTCCTCGCCGAGTCAAAACGCACACACGCGCCCGTGCGATGCCAAGACGGAGGCGGGGAGGGGGGGGGGGAGCGCTTTCCGCCCCGCGGCCTCGGGCGCCGTACGCGCCACCGCCGTCGCAGCCGCCTTGCCAGAGGGTGCGCCGGGGGTGGGCGGCGGCAGAGCGGCGTTAGCGCGCGAGGCGGCCACGGCGGGGAGAGCCGTTCGGGCGGCTGGTACAGTCGGGGCGTTGACCTCAGGAGCCCTGAATAAGGAACGAGGCCCCTTGATTCCATAAGTTAGCCTTCGATTCCCTGTCGGAAACATAGGGGGAGCCTGAGGCAAGCTGCGAAACACTTTAAGGAACGCGGAGCCCCTCCCCAACCAAAAGGGATCCTTCTTCAGGGCCCCGACGGTGGCAGGACGTGACCTCAATGGGGCGTGAAGACCTGGGCCCCAAAGGGGCCCTTCAGAAGGCCCCTCTTGGGCCCCTGCCGGCTCCGAAAGGCGCCCTCTGAAGGGCCCCCTTGAGGGCCCTGTCTCTTCGCCCCGCGGTGAGGTCGCCCAGAGAGTGCCGCCCGCCCGCGCCGTCTTACAGTCGGGGCGTTGACCTAAGGAACCCTAAATAAGGAACGAGGCCCCCTTTTTCCATACGTTAACCTTCGACTTCCTGTCGAAAGCATAAGGAAAGCCTGAGGCGAGCTGTGAAACACTTAAGGAACGCGGAGCCCCTCCCCAACGAAAAAGGTTCCTTGTTCAGGGCCCCGAATGTACGGCATGTTCGCGTCGTGGCGGCCCTGGCGTGTTGGTCCCTGGCACCGCTTGGAGCGTTCAAGCTTGGGCGATGGGCGACTTTTCGATGGCACGATGGTTCCGTGTCGGCCGACTCTTGGCCACTGGCAGGGGTAGACAAGCGCGTTCCCCCGCTCGCAAAAGAATCACTCGCACATGGCCTGGATCCGCCGCGGGGAATGCACGATCCGTTCCGTCGAGGCGAACATGCGTATGTTGTCTGAAGTTTGCGAGTCGACAATTTGCGAGTAGTGGAACGCGCTGGGTGAGGCAGCGCTCAACCATGAACGCCCGCAGTGGGGTCGCAGCGCGCGCCGAGGGCAGGAAGAAAAAGGCGGGCCTTCTCAAAGCCCTCTGGCTGTCCGAGGAGCCGCATGTGGCTTCCGAGAGGATGTCGAAAGCTTATGTATCATGAGACTGGAGGCCCTTTGAGCCTTCTGAAGAGACCTGCCCCTCTCAGAAGAGCCCCGCAGAGGACGAAACGGACACGACGAACACAAGCGGGTCTTCGTCTTACGCGAAACGGCACAGCGACCCTACAGTCGGGGCGTTGACCTAAGGAACCCTCAATAAGGAACGAGGCCCCTTTCTCTCATAAGTTACACGTCGATGTCCCATGGAAACCCTCAGGAAGACCTGAGGCAAACTGCTGAACAATCAAGGAGCACCGAGCCCCCCCCGAACGAGAAGGATTCCTTCTTCAGAGCCCCGACTGTACGAGGTGGCTCAAACAGGCGGCAAGCGCGACGCGCCATGTTGGACACAGGGGGCCCCCACGCGCGACCTGACGCGCCAGTGTCGGTGAGGACGCTTCGATCCGGCAGGCGCGTGCGGCGTGGGCACGCGCAGCAGCTCTCGACACCGCCTCGGCGACTACAACGGGTGCGGCTTGCGAAGGTTGGTGGTCCCCAAACGTGGTGGTGACAACACCTGGCGGTGAGTCTCGGGCGATTTGGTGTCACCACCCGGTTTGGGGACTCGTGCGGTTGTCCGAGGATGTCCCGGAAACTGGTGGGTCCAGGAGTCACAGAACCCGGTGGTGACCCCGCGTCCCCAAACCCAGCGGTGACCTTTGTGGGGATTCCAGGTCGCCACCTGGTATCTCACCACCCGGTTTGGGGGTTCCCAAGAAGGGTGCGGTTTGCCTCCCGTCATATCTGCCCCTCCCGCCCCCGGGAAACGGATGACACTGTCACTCAATGCGACCGGATCGCACGACGCTGCTGCTCCTTCTGGTGCAGTGGAGCACACATCGAGGATGACAGTGTCGCTCGAAACGACGACAAAATATGACATTGTCTCTCACAAAGGCCCCGGAAAGGCCGCCGCAAAGCAACTCGCAAACCGTACACGGGCGTAACCGCACCGATTGTAGTCGCCGAACCGCGTCAGTCGTTCGACATTGGACCGATCGCGGCGCCACACCAAATGAGCGAGTCCCGGTGAGGGCCCCCCGGAGGCCGAAACCAGCGACACGTGAAATCGGCGAGTATGGGTCGGACATCATCGAATTATTGCCAACGATGCCGACGACGCAAGAACGACAACGATTGCGACTACCTCTGGCCGCTGGGCGCTCTGGAGCTCGTCTGATCTATCCTGTGCCCCGGAGCCCGTCTGATCTATCCTGCGTGCTCGTCCGGCGTGAATTTTGCAGGATCCGTCCAGCATGGATTTTGCAGGATCTGCTCGATTCCCTGTCGCTCCAGTCGCCTTTTTTCACAACGCGAGGGGGTCTGACGAGGAAGCCTCGGGAGCGGCCAAGAGGGGGGTGTCCCAGAGAGGGGGGTTCAAATCATGACCGGCGGCATGTGCGCGGCCCAGCGCGGGGGCCAGGGACGTAACGAAATGAGAAGAGGCCCCATGAAATCTGGGGAAATATCATGGCCCCCGCCATGAGATCCACCCCGCCCTAGTCCTCACCCCCCTCTTTGGCCGCCCCCGAAATCCCCGCCTCCGACAGCCTGCACCCCCGGGCACGCCGCCCGCGGCCCCGCGGCCGCGGCGCAGGCCGCCCTCTGCGCGGGGCCGCCCGCGGCGCAGGCCGCCGCGGGGCGGGGGAGGAAGGGCCACGGTGGCCGAGAGGGGCGGGTCGCAGACGACCCCAGGAACGAGGGCCAGGAGAGGAGGGGAGTGTGGAACATCACACACGTTTTTGTTTTGTTTTCTCTCTCTCTCTCTTTTTCTCTCTCTCTCTCTCTCTCTCTCTCTCCCTGTTCACGAGAATACGATTGGCCGCCGTAAGGAATACGGCATGGTAAGTCACACGATTCTGATGACAGCCAGTGTCATAAGACCACAAAAAGCGTATCGTATGATGTTTAGGGGGAGGAGCGAGGAAGGAACGAGGAAAAAGCGTTGGGCAGGAGAAGGAAGAGGGAGGAGGAGGAGGAGGAGGAGGAGGAGGAGGAGGAGGATCGAAGGAGGAGGATCGAAGGATGAGGATCCAAAGAGACGGGAAGAGGAGGAGGAGGAGGAGGAGGATAACCGACGGGAGATCACAAAAGAACACAATGAAGGAGGAGGAGGAGGAGGAGAAGGAGGAGGGAGGAGAAACGAGGGAGGAGGGAGAGGGAGGAGGGAGGAGGAGAGAGGATCGAGGAGGGAGAAGGGAGGAGGAGGAGGAGGGAGAAGGGAGGAAGAGGAGGCAGAAGAGGGGAAAGGTACGGCAAGAACGGTCGGCGTGGGCTCGAGAGAACCAGCGCAGACCATATGTGCGCGAAACTCTTCTGGCAGCCGTGACCAGCGCGACTTCCCGCTGCTAGACACCCAAGGTACCAGCCAGACCTCGGCAAACGCCAATGACCCCGGACAAGGAGGAGGAGAAGGAGGAGGAGGAGGAGGTTTTCCCCCTCCCTCTGCTATGCTGGAGCCCCCAAGAGGAGGAGGAGGAGGAGGAGGAGGAGGAGGAGGAGGAGGAGGAGGAAGACGAAGAGGAGGAAGCGGAGGAGGAGGAGGAGACCTCCCTCTGCTCTGCTGGAGCCCCCAAGAGGAGGAGGAGGAGGAGGAGGAGGAGGAGGAGGAGGAGGAGGAGGAGGAGGAAGGAGGGAGGAGGAGGGACGGAGGTAGAGGAGAAGCAGGAGAAGGAGGAGGCGGAGAAGGAGGAGGAGGAGGTTCGAAGGAGGCGGGAGGAGAGGAGGAGGAGGAGGAGGAGGAGGAGGACGAGGAGGTGGATGATGGCAAGAGGAATATTATAATATACACATAACAACAAGATGAGGGAGGAGGGGGAGGGGAGGAGGGAGGAGAGGGGGAGGAGGAGGAGGAGGAGGAGGATGAGGAGAGAGGAGGAGGGGAGGAGGAGGAGGAGGAGGAGGAGGAGGAGGAGGAGGAGGAGGAGGGAGGAGGATGGACGCAGGAAGTTTCACATACCAACAAGATGAGGGAGGAGCAGGAGGAGGAGCAGGAGGAGGAGTATCGAAGGAGACGAGAGGAGCAGGAGGAGGTTGAGGATGAGGAGGGCCGCAGGAGGACTCACAGAACAACAAGATGAGGAAGGAGGAGGAGCAGGAGGAGGAGGAGGAGGATCGAAGGAGACGGGAGGAGCAGGAGGAGCATGAGGAGGATGGCCGCAGGAAGATTCACATAATAACAAGATGAGGGAGGAGGAGGAGGAGGAGGAGGAGGAGGAGGAGGAGGAGGAGGAGAAAAAAACGCGGAGCGAGACCGCGATTGGCCCGCAGCGTCAGGAGGAGAAGGACAAAGAGGAGAGGGGAGGGGAGGCTCGAGCAACAGGCGAGCTGCGTGCGCACAAGCTCTCCGAAGTCAGCGCCAGGGGGGCCTGGCCTGCGCGGCGCCGGGCGCCCCCTTGCCCCGCATCCCTCCCTGTGGGCACGCCCAGGGATCGGAACGTTTGGGTCAGCGGATCGGGCTCGCCCCCTGTTCAGGGGAACGAGCAATGGCATAAACATAAAAAACTCGGAGGTCCGCGCGGACTTCTCGGATCCGCGCTGGACCCCCTGGCGGCGCCTCCGGCGCCGCCCCTGAAGTCCGCGCGGACCTCCGAGTTTTCATGTTTTGTTAATTTTTCGTTCCCCTACTGTTGGCAAGAGTGGGAATCGGTCTGTGAGCGTTTCATGATTCGGCGCCTCGACCTTGGGCGGAAGGGGGGGAGAGGATGGGGGGGGTCTGGCTCCAGACCCCTGCTTAGTGCGGCTGCTTGGGACTGTGCGTTCATTTATGGGGGGACTCCACCTGCTCGAAAGCAGGCGCCACAAACAGTCAAGATCTACTCCACGGCGGGGGGGGAGGGGGGGTGCGAGGGCCCTCGCCAATCAGCACAATAAGGAATAACAAAAACGCTCACTCAGCAGATCGAGCTCGCCCCTGCCGGCACCTGGGAATCGATTCGCGTG